AAATATTTAATTTGCATGTAAGGCTCTGAGTCAGCCATCAGGGTTACAAAGATGAATAAAAATGTTTCTGCCCCAAAGTAGAGACATAAATGTGTGTGCATGTGCACACACACACACACCCCTCCCCCACATACACACGCTCACAATAAAAAATATAAATGATAAGTAGAAAAATAATTATGCAGATAAAGAGAATGTTACGAAGTTAAGAATAACCTAAAAAATATTACTCATTTTTAGTAGAAGTAAAATTAGATAAGTAATCAAAAAAAAATAGAACAAGTTGCCTTGTTTCTTTCTATTTCAACAAGATAATTACTAGATCAAAACTGTTTGTTAAACTGTGAACCAACAGTTTAATAAACAAGATTTGGTTTCATGATTTTGTTTTACTGTGGGATTTTGTTCATGGAAACTGTCTTTTTACTGATTCTAACATTTCCCATTGAAATGATGACAAAAGTCTATGATGACCACATGTACTAAAGCACAGGCTGATCATATTTCTGTTAAAGTCGTATGACTTGATTACCATTGTAATTAAAGCTTTTTTCTCAATCAGATAATGTCTTCCATGCATTTAGCTTTCAAGTTAATGAATGGATGAATAAGGATGAGTTACAGGGTTTTTTGCAGTTAACTATATTAATACATCACTGCCTTTGAAATAAGCCATCAGAGGAATTACATGTATGTTGTATGTTAATACAAAAAACAGAGAGTAACTTAAAACACTATGTGTATCTAAATATAGAAATGAAGGGGCCGTGTCAAAGCCAAAATTGTCCTTGTAATATATGATTCTTAATGATGGATAGTGATGAATTATTTTGACATGGAAAATTTGTCTACAGCAATCAAGTCATTAATATAGATTCAATTCAGGAACTATTTTGAGCCTTTTATGATAATATGTTTGTGTGGCCTTTATGGTTTAAAAAGCACATTCACCTCTTTTTCTTCATTTGAGCACACAGCAACTTTCTGAAAGGTGTTATTTTTGTGCTCGTCTCTTAGAGAAGAAAATTACAGTTAATAGGATTGGTAATTAACAGAAGTATGGATCTCAGATACTATATCCTCTCTAACACCTTGTATTATCTCTTCTGTGTATAAAACATTCAGTGAGAAGTACAGAGCACATCAAAATGTTTCTTGATAACTGACATGTATTGCAGGGTTCACGTTACAGAAGACTGACATCTATATTATTCCCTTTGAGTGTGACAATGACCTGTGAATCAATAGCTCAAGTTTGAAGGAAACTTAAACACTAATGAGAAAGAGCTAAGACAATGGTAGCACTAACTACAAGACAGCATTTGATCTGGGCTTTGGTTGATCAAAGCGGGGGGAGCACATTCAGCTTGGAAGATCAGGAAAGTCAGCCTGGATTCCAGAGATCACTGAAACAAATTGATATGCAAAGCCCAATGAGGACCGCGCGTCTTTAAGGTCTGGCCCTGTGTGGATTCTCTGAAAATCTGCCGTGCTTCTTTGGCCAGAGATTTTCTAAAAGAAAAAAAGAGAATATTACTTTCAACATCAAAAAGAGACGGTTCTTAGACAGCAAATATTTCTGAAAACGTTAGAGAAGAAATGGATATGTCAGACCAAGTGAATTACCAATATAATATCAATTTTAAGCAAAAGTCTATTTGTATGTTATAACAAAAGAATAAACACAGTGACCTAAAATTGAGAAAGTTTGGCTTTAGGAAAAGTTGTAAGATTTGGAACATTTTTCACTGTATAGAATAATAATTGTCAAGTCCCCAAACTGCATTCCTGTCTCTTTCTTGAAATACCCACACCAGGTCCTGCGAGCCAGGGCATTTGAACAAGCAACATGATGACTTAGGGTAGCTAGAAGTCAGGGCATCATGTGGTGAGTACAAAAACCACTCTGAGGAGAAAGCAAAGAGTTAAAACCAGAATACCAAATCCACTGTGTGGTCCAAAGGGTCATCGATAGTAGAGGCAGGAGGGTGGAGCATAAGGTGTGATTAATATCAGAGGATTGAAACTTTTCAGTGCTCAAACTTGTCTGCCCATCACAGCTTTTTCTCAGTGGGTGCCGGTCATAGATGTGTAGGTCGGTCAGCCTAGGTTAAAAGTCTAGAATTGTAGAGGGCAGTGATATATGGAAGGAAGATGAGATGAATAAAACCTAGCAATTTTTTGTTTGTTTGTTTTGGGGTTTTTCGTTTGGTTGGCTTTTTTTATTGAAATATATTTGGCATATAACATTGTGTACAATTAAGGCATACAACATGTTAATTTGATACATTATACAGTGTAAGACGATTGCCACTGTGGCATTAGTCAGCACTTCTATCACATTACTTAATTATCTTTTCTTAGTGGTTGGAATAATTACGTTCTAGGCTCTTGGCTAGTTTGATGACTATAATACAATATTATTGTCTGTATTCACTAGACGGTGCATTAGATCTCTAGGTCTTATTTACTGCTCATTGCAAGTTTGCACTCCTTAAAAAGCATCTATCTGGTCCACCCCCCCAAACCCTGGTAACCACCATTTCACTCTGTTTTTATAAGTTTGGCTTTTTTAGATTCCACCTATAAGTGATATCGTACAGCACTGTCTTTCTCTGTCTGACTTACCTCACTTAGCATAATGTACTCTGGATCAATAACAGTTAGCTTCACGGTATTTTTGATTTGTATCTCTTGCCTAATTTGCCTTCCTTTTAGTCCACGTAGTTGGATCGTTGTCTCTAGATTAAACCTTTTTTTTTTTCTTTAACATGCTATTTCCCTCCTTAATATGGATGATAATTTTCTAAATTTACAAAAAAAGTCTTGTCTAAGTTTCACAATAATCACTTTATAGTCTTCATAGGACTTTCTATGCTAAAAGTTGTGTAGAAGTCAGATAAAGTGAGAGAATTTATGCTACTTTACTTGCTCCCCTCGTACACTTGTGTCTGCAGATGAAGATAAAAAGCATAACTTTAAAAGCAGAGTTTACGTCTTCACTACATTGATTATATTGTTATATGGAGAAAACTGAAGCTAACAAGTTGATAGAAAAACATCAAGGAGTATATAGTCTGTGTCTATATATGTGAACTACATGTGAAGAAAAAGAGCCTAGGTTTCATCATTTTAAGATGCCTGTAGTAATATTTTTAGCCTTGGTTGGATCTACCAGCTCTTCTCCTCTGAAACAGAGCCTCAGCCCCACAAGATTTTCCACTGTTATTCCCTTATCTTACCAGGCCTCTTGTTTCTGTCGTTGTTACGTTGACATATTCACAATAAGGAGCATACTGTCTCTTCTTTGTATTAAGAATATACATATATGTAGTCCTTCAGAGTTTGCAAAACATTTCCCAAATATAAGCTCTGTTAATCCTCACAGCAAACCCCAGAGGTAGGTATTATTATGAAAGCTTTTATATGGATGAGGAGAGATTGACTTAATATATTTAAAGGACCAAGTAGACAAAATTTAGATTCAACCCCAGTGCGTGTAATTCCACCAGTAAGTAACTAAGCTAGAACTAGAATCCTGTCCTCTGACAGAGGGCCAGGGTACAGCCCTGTCTCATTTTCAATACATAAACTTTATTATTTGGAGAATTAAAATGTAATTATAATTATACTTATAATTATATAAGTGACTATTATTACAATTTTAAACAGTTTAAAGGAGAGGATATCTGCTTATTTATACATCATTTTTATCAGTTTATTGATTTACATATTAGTTATGTTTGAAAAGATTTGTACTGAGTCAAAATGTATATATCAACGCTTATTTTCCTTTTAACACACTTTATGAAAAAGACTAGGAATGAGTACCCCCAAATTTTTCGGCTCTATAAACTATCTTTATTGCCATAAAATATAAATAAATAAGCTCGAAATGTAGCATCTTTTAAAACTCAAATCAAATAATGGGATGATAATCTGATAAAACAGCAAATGATCAAAATGAGTGAAAACCACCCAGCTTTTGAGATAATCAAGTAAACATTGGGATAAGTTAAAGAAGGAGGTATGTAAGATGACTCGTTTATTCAGTACCCAATGCTTCTTGATATTTTCGCAGGAGATGAAAACCAGCCACTAGGGGAAATAATTAATTATGTTGTCAGCATAATTCCCATTTGGGTGAATTTCTGTAAATGCACAGACCCTGGTAATCACAGGGAATTCTACTGATGTAGAATGTAGCTGCATTTGTTGAGCACTTGTTATTTGCAAATCACTATACTAAACACTTTGGTTTACTGCTCCACACCCTGAAAGGTAAGAGGTGGTTACCCCAGTTGTGTGGATGAGAACACCGAGGCACAAGGAGAGTTAATCATTTCGGCTCTGCACAGCGTCACAAAGCTAGTAAATGATGAAGCTCGCCATTGAACCCAGGCTACCCAACACCAGAATTTTATCCTTAACTGTTGCAGTTAACCATATCTGCCAACAGAATTTTGACTCCAAAATTTCAAAGGATTGTTCATGTAGACAGGTTGTCCTTAAGGCATTGTATCCACTCTTCTACTTTTTTCTCAGTGAGTTTTTGTCTTTTTCACTTAGGTTTGAACTTGTCAATGAGCTTCCTTCATCCTCTTTCCTTGAGTGAACAAGTTCTGTATTTTATCTGATTTTTGCCCTTTGTTTTTGCTGTATTTTCTCCTCAGAGAGAACATCCTGACTAGAAATGATGATATATAGTCAGAAAGATCAGTATATTTGTGTAGATCTTTCTTTATATACTAGTACCATTTGGATTCCCTAATTTTTGCTAATTCCATTAAGAAATAAATATGCTTGCATGTAAATGCACATAGATATATGTACATAATTTACTGACTGAATAAATTTGACTGAAACATAATATTACCTTATCTTTCCCACACCCTTAATAGTACATAGAGTTTACTCTTTCATAGACTGTTTTTTCATGGTTTATCCAAATGGCTCATGAGCAACCCAAGGTAGTAGTCATTTGCTTTTTCCCCCCCCAGAAGCTCAGAAGAAGCAATTGGAAGAGAGTATAGAGCTGATCCAAGATGAATGTGTGTCAGAGAATGCAGATCACTCTACAGAGGAGCCTGCTGAAGGAGGGCCAGATGCGGATGGAGAAGAGATGACTGATGGGATAGAGGAGGACTTCGATGAAGATGGGGGTCATGAGCTGGTAGGAACTAAACATTTGGTGTCCACACCCTTTGGTAACAGCACCAGCATGTTAGCGTCTCATTCATCCTAAAACAAAGATGAACTATTTGGAGCTTATTTGTTTCTTTTACGTCTATATTAAGGCAACATCAGTGCAGTGCTTTGCACACGATAAGTGCTCGATACATTTTTGCTAACTCAAAACATGAGGTAGTAAATGAGTAGACAGCAGAAATATTATATATGAGGTTAGTTATATTTAAAGTTCCAAATGAAAGGTTCTCTTTCCCAAATGCTCCACCATGAAAGGAATCTTGCTTTTGTGCAATTACACGTGAATTGTTTGTGGATATAATATCCTGGTAACAAATGACCGTTTACTGGAAAACACATGGCTCCCCCTCTTATTTCATAATGTCACTCACTGCTAGTAATTATCTATACTAGTTGTATGGCCAACAGTCCTTTCTACAGTCTGCTCACTAGGATGACCCTTTGAGGTATGGCCAGTTCACCATCTTCACTGCCTGTGCTGCTTGACAACCAGTTTTTATGAGTTAGGGATTTAGCCAGACTTCCTTCTTTACAGGTTTTATTTTCCCAATGTTGTAATCATTGTACTGCTCATTTCCATATGTCCTTTCTTTCATAACCACACCAGGGACTTGGTAAATATATGCTGATGAGGATGCTATTTCTCATATTTTATCAACCATGAAATTAAATATACTGTCTTAAAAGGATTGACTAATAAAAATGATGAGAGGGCAAGTGCGTTTGTGTTTTGCCAACTCTCAAATATCTGTGGACTGATCACATTAAACTTGACTTATCCCAGGGAATATCAGATTCCAAATTGTTATAATACTTACCGTTACTTAAGTAATTTTCTCGTGGTGATAGTTGCTTTGGCATGGTAACCACCCTATCAGTAGTTTCAGTTATGGAACTCTCTGTTGATTTTTAACATTCCAACTCTGTTTAAATTGCATGGCACTTTCATTTAAACTTTTCAAATAGGAGCCTTTAACAACCACCCTTATTTCTACAAAAGTCTGCATCAGTTTGAAGGACTTAAATACCTGGTTTTAGAATTGTTTTGACTTTAGGAAACCTGAACAGGGCTAGAATGAAGGACTAATAAATTTCTCCATAGACGGGACTTTAATTCAACAACATAATTTCCTCAGCTCATTCTCATCAGACTTGTCACCATTCCATTGAGACAGCTCTTGTCGAGGTGTCTGGATGCCTCCACATTGCCATGTTCAATGGTTACCTCTCTGTTCTTATTTTAATTTACTTCTCAGCAGAATTTGGCTGAGAATTGGTTAGGGGAATTCTGAGAAATTCTCCTAACTTTCCATTTGCTTATTCTGAGTTTCCTGTGCTAAAACTTTCCCTCTATACTCCCAGTTTAAATATTGGAGTAGCCCAGGGCTTTGTCATAGGTCACCTTCTCTTTCTACACACTTCTCCAAGGTGACTTCATTAAATACCGAAGCTTTAAATATTATCTATAGGCCAAAGACTTCTGAATCTATATTTCTATTCCTGATCTCTTCCTGGAATTATAGACTCAAGTAGTCAGCTGCCTATCCTCATAGATTCCAATAAACAGCTGATACTTGACATGCCAGAAACATTCTTGATTTTTTTTCCAGCCATCTTATTCCTTCCCAGTCCTCCTCATTCTGATAAACAGCATCACCATCCACACAGTTGGGGAAACCAAAAAGGCTAGGATTATCTTTGATTCTCTCCAACCTTCCTCATTAATTCTAACTCCCAATCGTAGCCCAAAGCTAGTTACATCTCCACTACAGCTAAGCTTTCTTGCTTCAGCCCATGCAATCCATTCTCCACACAAAAAGCATATAAATTTGTATAAATTATACATCAGATAATACTACTCCCTTGCTTAAAACCCCACAGTGCTTTTTATCATAGTGAGAATCAAAATCCTCAAGTGTGAGAATGTAAGTTGTGATGAGGTTGGGTGGAGGATGCCAGTAGAGAGAACTTGGTGAAGAGAAAGGGAGAAAGTCCCCAATGCTGAAGGGAAAGGAATCTAGGGCACAGGCGTGTGGGCTGACCTCCGACAACGGGAGGGACACTCTTCCACTGCAGCTGACTGCAGTAAGGCTGAGGATTTGGTGGCAGGCCTTTGGGGGAGTTCAAGCGCAATCTATAAGTCAGGATAATAACCTCTGGGGAGTGAGCAAAGATGGACAGGACCACAGATTTGAGGAGAATGGAGAAGATTTCAAGAAGCTAGTATGGAAAACATAGAAGATCACTAATTTGGAAAACATATCAAGATTGACAGCGTCAATAGGTAATTGAGGTTAGAGACCAAGAATTAATAGAGTAATATTTTGCAAGCTTTGATGTGTATCAGAATTACCTGGAGAATTTGTTAAAGCAGATTGCTGTGTCCCATTCTGAGAGTTTCTGATTCAGTATGCTCAGTGGGAGCTAGGAATTTGCATTTCTGATAAGTTCCCAAATCCTGCTGCTGCTGCTGGTCTGGGGACTGCACTTTGAGAACCACTGATATGGAAGCGTCAGTCAGCCCAGCTGTGGGATTTTCACCATTGCTTTTATCAGCCCTGGTGGAAGCGTGGAGAAATCTAACAGGTCCAGAGTTGGACTTTTGTCAGAAAAGTGCAAAGAAAAACTATAAATAAAGGGAGTTGAGGAGAGTAGTGAAAAGAGTGGCTGACTAGATGGATGATGGAATTGAACTTGAGCAGGGAAGGAAGGGAACACAGGAGGGGGCTGAGAAGGGGAAAATGGAGACACAAAGGGAATAAAAGTCCCTATGCTGTTAAGGGCCAGAAGCAAGGAAATTAAATAAATAAGGAAAAATTGAGGATTGTACTTAGAGATTGAGATATTTCAGAGGTGTGACAGTTAGACGATGAGAAGATCCATGGGAGGGGGTGATGGAAGTGAGATCAGAGCAAAAGTCACTGCATATTGTAGAATTCAAGGAACTGAGATGCTCAAATGCAAGATGGGTCATCTAAATGAGCATGAAATCACTCCAAGTATCAGACAGGAAGGGAAAGAGTAAGTTACAAAAGTCAGCTGCCATGAAAGAGACAGCATAGCCAGTTTTAGTCCCAGGTCTGTCACTATCCAATCCAATCGAATCACCTTAAACAAATAAATTTTCCGAGTCTCAACTTTCTTATCTGCAAAATAGTAAGATTAGATCAGAAATTTCTAAAATCTATTCTGTTTGATATTCTCTCTAAGTGAATCTGTGTTCCAGGAACACCATGTCTGAAGGAGCAAGGGCTGATCATGAAGCCAAGGAATAAATCCAAACCGTGGTGTTTGTTTTACGTTCTAAACACACAGAAAGTGACTGATTAGAACTCTTGCTGCCTAGAGGTGCTCAGGTTTCTTCCCTCAACCCTTGCATTATAATTGGGGGCTCAGGGAGCTAAAGAATTAAATCCTATTTCTATCTCATTTTCTTTGTACAAATTGGAAAACAATGAATGAAGATGTTTAATACTCAGTCCTTGAAATCTAAATGGAGACTGCGGAGTCTGTCTTAGGGATTGGCCTAGAGAAAATTCTCCAGTCTGGTGTCCACTGTTTTCTCCTTTCCAGACCACATGAACCCAATCATCCTTGGTTCCCAAAAAGGAAAGTACGAGCATAAATCTTCTCTTTTTGTCATAATGAAGGGCATTAAAGATTACAGGTTCAGCAAGGATAGAATATAATTAGGTTTTTAGCACGTGCAGTAGGAGTCAGAAAAGGGAACTAGTATCCACATGCCCCGGCGGCTGCTCAAAGAAAATCTGGAATGCCATTCCAAAAGAATGGATGGGAAATAAGAATTAGATCTGAAGCAAGTGAGAACCAGCAAAAGGAGCTAGTGGGACAGCTGTAAGTGGTCGCACCCCTTGTGGAGCATGTGAGAAGCTAAAGGCGTGAGCACAGACTGTCTGTACATCGTCTAGTTCTAAATATCCAGTTAGTGAAATTGATTTTCATGAAGCAATTCATTCAACTAACGTTTGGCTGCCTATTATGTATGACAAGGTGCTACAAAAGAAAGCAAAGATAACGAAAACTATTGCTTTTATGTGGAATGCAATGTTTAAGTTAATGGTTCCTTTTCTCAAGTAGCTTAGTGTCTTATAGATAAGACTGATTCCTCATGTAAAGAATAACAGACTTGGACTTGATAATTTATAAGAAGGCAAACAAGGGTAAAAATCTATGATTCTATATTAATCTATGCCTATATATTTCATTAGTGCATAGAAATTAATATTTGAATTTATTTAGAATTGAACTCTGTATTGATGCACTATGCACACACTGTCAAACCACTGCCTTACTCCTGTTTGTAAATAAATCTATTAGCAAATATTTGTTGATTGACTACTAATGAATGGCACTGAGATTTTTGCTATGAGAATAAAGAAGGAAAATCATATTTCTTCACTCAAGAAGGCTATAAATTAACTGAGGATAAAGACTACAGACAAAAGATACAAAGCAGTATATTATGGTAAGAACCATATGAAAGACACAGTTTATAAGTGAGGAATCACACGTAGCTGAGATGGTCAACAAGGTCACTGGCAGAAGTGGGATTAGAACTTTGCCTCAGAGGATCCCAGATGAAAGGAACGGCATGTGCTAAAGATGAGGAAGGAAGATTCAAATCATCCTTCATTGTTCTCAGGTCATTTTATAGAAAATACACTAAGATCCAAAATACATTAGTTATTTCATATGATAGGCAGACAGGTAGGTAGGTGCGTGGGTGGATGAATGGATGGATGGATAGATAGAAGAGAGAGAAAAAAGAGACAGAGAGGGAGATTTTTTGATAAAACTACTAGAAACTTCACAAATAAGACATTTACCTTTCAAGCTCTTTTATTCTCATGTTTATATCCACCAAAATTGTAATGTAACATTAATCTATGTTAATGTATAAAATAACATAATCCAAAATAAAAGTAGTCTGTGCCATAATGGAAATAATTTAGAAAAGTAAGTGCTTAGCACCCTGCTAATTGAAAAGGACACATGAACTCTCGCAGGTGTATGACAGAAGATGAGTGGAAAAGGCCTCTGTT